GTGTGTGTTTGTGTGTGTGTGTGTGTGTGTGTGTGTGTGTGTGTGTGTGTGTGTGTAGGGGAAATAGATATCTAACCTTCCCTGCTGGTTTCCATATCCATATTGCCTTTCTGAGGAAGCCAACAATGGAAAGTTGCAAATGGAGGTCAGCCAATGGACTGTTGGGATGGCCAGAATTCTGAGAATCAGTTGTTAGCCATCATTTGTTCAACACTATTTTAATGGTCACTGGTCATAGGTCAAGAACTATGTTACTTGTTGATAGTAATTTACAAGCTCAAGCATAAAGTGTTTGCCTAATAGCAATAAGAAAATCATGTGAATATATACTAAAGTTCTCATTAAGCAAATGTCTAAAATCTGATTGGTGCTTAATATTCTGAACTCCTAGATTATTATTATTTTTGTTTAATTACCTTTAGGTTGCCAACATTTCTAAAAGTATGTATTCAAGTATCATTTGTGTTCTCTGGAAGAGTAGATTATTTCAGTATTTCCAAAAACACAAAGTTTTATTAAAGTTAAAAAGTACCATGTACAACCAATTAGTAATAGTATATTTGTTATATTTTAGGCTAAGTAACACGATGGCTAAAGGAACTGATCATGAGATGAGGAATCTTTCATCTCCAGCCTCACAATCTCTCAATGATGAAAGTAAGTGGTATGTCCCTGGATTTCCCTTGGTTTTATCTAATAGAACTTTTATATATACGCAGTGTGACATACAGTAGTTTATATAAAAATATTTATGTAACTTGTTTAAGAAACTTCGTGTAAATTAAATATTGACCAGAGAAGAAAAATAATTTAAGCTACAGTGATTAAACAAGTGACTCATCATACAGATAAATTTATTTGAATTTACTGGGTTTGTAAAGATTAGAGTTTTTTGAGTATTAGAGTATTTATTTATAGTTGGTTTATACATCCCCGCATCTAAAAAAATAGTAATTCCGGGCTGTAAACACATGATTAAAGCCAGTAAAACAAAAGGAATAAGTAACAACAATAGTAAACATAGACACAATTACGGCACTCAGAATCCAGCCACAGTTATGTGAGAAAGCTGCAATGATGAATTTATACAACCCAGCATCCAGATTTTCAAGGCTTTACAAAACACCAACAGGGTTGAGTATTACCACTATTAATCTCACGTTTCTTTCTAATCTAGAAGGTATTATCCCATAGTATTTAATTTTCAAAATTACTGTCTAAGCAAATAATAGTAAGCCCACTGGCTGTTTCTGAACCATAAAATTAACAAAAGGAGTATGGGGATAGCAGCAATTTAAAACTAAAAGATGACCTTATTCCCTATTTCCTATTTAGTATTTTTATTGGGTACCTACTTGTATCTATGTATATATATATATATAGTGCTGTATGTTTTCTAATCCTGAGATAGGTGAACAATTATTGTGTTCTATATTTAATTTAATTTAATTTTAGTTCCTCATACTTATTAGGCAGGACAGAGGAAAGAATCACAGTGATTTTAGAGTGAGCTGATATAAAAATTAATAAAATTGGTGAGCCCATTTCATTTTCTAAAAAGAAAGAATAAACACAACTCGTGCATTTAAAAGTCTTAGCAAAGAAGAATTCATCCATCAAATTACTGTCCTAAAGTCCTTTGCATCCCAGATATATTTAGTTCAGTGTTATAATACATGTATTTACTTGTATTGAAGCATATTGAATTCTTATTCACTAACCAACTTTACTTTATAGTTGCAATATATAGCAATGAATGTACAGAATATTAAGGATGGACAGATTTTTGCATTTGTCTTTTAAACAGTATACCTTTAGTTCTTTCGGAGTAGCTAAAATGAATGGTGTTTATGAACTATTTTGAATTCATTTTCTTGGCTGATTGAGTGAAATTGAATGCACACTTCATTTTCAAGGTAATAAAGTTGCTCTTTGGGTATTCAGAAACTATAAGCTATACTTACTGATAGGCTTCATCTTGTGATCACTATTTTCCTTTTCTCATGCCACCTAATGATTTTATATATTACTGTTTTATGCAAATGTAGTATTTCCTTCTCCATCATGCTATTTAACTCCTTGGCTTTTGAATACATGAAGTATCAACATTTTTTATTTCTAACCTCTAAATTCCTGCAAATCCTTCTAAATCCTTTGAATGAGTTTGCTTTGTTTTGGGTTACTCATTTATTTGAAGTGACCAAATTTACACTGACCTTGTTTTAATTATTCCATTGTGTCTGATTCTCTGAGACTGCCTGGACAAGTCCTTACAGTTTTCTAGCAAGGTGTTTCATAAGTGGTTTCCCATTGCTTTCTTCCTATGGACCCTATACACCCTATATTGCAGTGTTTCCCAAACTTGGCAACTTGAAGATGTCCGGATTTCAACTCCCAGAATTCCCCAGCCAGCATTCGCTGGCTGGGGAATTCTGGGAGTTGAAGTCCGGACATCTTCAAGTTGGCAAGTTTGGGTAACACTGCTATATTGGGTGTACCTAGGTACACCCA